GGGGGGGGCAGTTGCAGCCCCCCAGGGGGGGTACCGCCACGGTGACAGGCGCGGCAGGCCCGGCGCTCGGGGCCCGGGAAGCGGCTCCCCCGGCCCGTTACTCACAGCGCGGCGGAGGCGGCGGCTCCCGGCGGGGTGGCTCTGCCCGCGGGCCCGGCCGCCGCGGATGGCCCGGACTGGGGGCGGCGATCGCAGCCGGCGCTTCCGTTTCCTCGAGTCCCTTCGCGCCGGAGCCGCAGCCCAGCCCGGCCCGCCGAGAGCCGCCCCGCGCGGCCGAGCCGGGACACTGCCCCCGGCAGGGAGGGAGGAGGCGCTGCCGGTGTGCAGCGCGCCCCCCTTCTCCTCCTCAGGCGGCGCCGCCCCTGCCCGGCTGCCCTGGCCCTGCCCGGGCCTCCCGCCGAGTGAGGGTCCGGGCCCAGGCCCACCCAGCCTTGGCCTGGGGACAGGGACACCCCCAAAGCAGGGGTAGCCCCGGATCTTCTGTCAAGGGCCAAATGGCCTGGTCAAGGTCCAGACCCCCGAGAAAATTATTAAAAAATAATGATCAAAATCAAACAAACAGACAGACCCCCCCCAACTCTACATATAAAATGAGGGGGTCTAAATGAGCTGCTACCCCTCCAGAAAGGGAGTCTTGGTGGGGAGTTCTCCGAAAACATCCACCCAAGGTGCAAAAAAGCCAACAGGCTGTTGGGAATCCTTAAGAAAGGGAGAGAGAATAAGAGACACTATCGTGTTGCTTCTATATAAATCCATGGTACACCCACATCTTGAATACTGTGTGCAGATGTTTTCGCCCCATCTCAAAAAAAGGATATATTGGACTTGGAAAAGGGCAACAAAAAATGATTATGGGTCTGATTAATCTCTCCTCAGATGGAAGCCATTCCAGATTGGGACTTTTCAGCTTGGAAAAGAGACAACTTAACCTCTGAGGATAGGCGTTGCTTACAAGCCCGAGGTTACTGAAAGCTTTTGCTCAAATAAATGTGTTAGTCACGCGGACTCCTGTTCTTTTTACTACAAACAGGGGCATTAGTTAGGGAAGGGGCGTAGTACCCTGAAGCTTGTAAACAACTCAGGAGCAGCACAGCCCCTGGGGTAGTTAGTCAAACTGAGTTTTCCAGAAACTACGCCAAAGAACGAACTTTTGGTATCAAAAGCTGAGCTTGAGCGGACACAGGGCGTTCATTTTCGTCCAGCAAACAGCAGGATTGTCCCAGAGAGTCCGCAGATCTTGCAGAAAGGTTGAAAAGTCTTAGGCTTAGTAGGGCCCCATAAGACTGATAGGTTACCTCTGGTGAGCTTTTAGCAGGCATATAGGAACTATTATTGTCTTTAAAATAAATGTACTTTGCTGAGAAAGAGCTTGTGGGCACCCATTAAAAGAGCACAGCCAGGTGCTGGTCTTTCAGCAGACTGGCTTGCTGGGGGATAATCAGTGTAAGACAGGGATCTGAGCAGACTTCAAGTCCCCATTCAGAAGGAAGTGAGGCAAAAGGTCCCAGCTCAGAGACAGGTGACAGCTGGAGACCTGATGGGGTATTCCTGGAGTGGCCCACGGGGAGGAGACGGAGGTGCAGTTACCCTGAAACTGTGACACTCACAATCTACTTTGCTCCACAGCTTTCAGAATTTTGTGGGGCATTTTCCCCACCCACTCCACCTAATTTATGGGGAATTTCACTGCTTAATCAACAATGTCTTTAAGAATCAGCGTAGTTTCCATCCCTCTCAGCTGTCCTATGCAAACATCAAATATTTTTAGTACTACTAAACCTGTACCCTAGGAGTTAAATGGTGCATATTTGGCAGGTGTTAAAAGGGAAGGGCAGCCAGTATGTCCCTCGGCCTGCGCCGCTTCCCGCAGCCCCCATTGGCCTGGAGCAGCGAACCGCGGCCAGTGGGAGCTGCGATCGGCGGGAGCTGCGGACGTGGCAGGTAAATAAACCGGCCCAGCCCACCAGGGGCTTTCCCTAAACAAGCGGTGTCCCAAGTTTGGGAAACACTGCCCTAGACAATTTATTCCAGTGCTTAACCACCTTGACAGGAAGTTTTTCCTAATGTCCAACCTAAACCGCCCTTGCTGCAATTTAAGCCCATTGTTTCTTGTCCTGTCCTCAGAGGTTAAAAAAAACAACAAATTTTCTTCCTCCTCCTTGTAACAACCTTTTACATACTTGAAAACTGTTATGTCCCCTGTAATGTCTTCTCTTTTCCAGACTAAACAAACCCAATTTTTTCAATCTTCCCTCATAGGTCATGTTTTCTAGACCTTTAATAATTTTTATTGATCTTCTCTGGACTCTCTCCAATTTGTCCACATCCTTCCTGAAAGGTGGTGCCAGAATTGGACACAATACTGCAGCTGAGGCCTAATCAGAGCAGAGTAGAGCGGAAGAATTACTTCCGTGTTGTGCTTACAACACTCCTGCTAATACATCCCAGAATGATGTTAGCTTTTTTGGTAACAGTGTTACACTGTTGATTCATATTTAGCTTGTGGTCCACTACCACCCCCAGATCCCTTTCTGCCGTACTCCTTCCTAGGCAGTCATTTCCCATTTTGTATGTGTGCCGCTGATTGTTCCTTCCTAAGTAGAGTACTTTGCATTTCATCCTATTTACTTCAGACCATTTATCCAGTTTGTCCAGAGCATTTTGAATTTTAATCCTATCCTCCTAAGCACTTGCAACCCCTCCCAGCTTAGTATCATCCTTATAAGTGTACGCTGTATGCCATTATCCAAATCGTTAATTAAGATAGTGAACAGACCCAGACCTGATCCCTGCGGGACCTCACTCATTATGCCCTTCCAGCTTGACTGTGAACCACTGATAACTACTCTCGGGGAACGGTTTTCCAACCAGTTATGCACCCACCTTGTAGTAGCTCCATCTAGGTTGCATTTCCCTAGTTTGTTTATGAGAAGGTCATGAAAGACAGTGTCAAAAGTTGTCACCAGAGCCAGACAGGGGAACCGATAATCCCAGGGTGGCCACATAGTCCTGAGCTGGGCCAGAATGGCGCTCTGCCCAGACACCCAGCACCACTGGCCTCAGCAACTCCAGAGCCAGAGCAGCCAGAAACCTCATCAATCCCATTAGCCTCCTCCTGGGGCATCAGTGCCATCAACGCAACAGGTGTGGTACAACCCCTCGTCCCTGCTGCACCAAGGGCCGGTGCTGTCCATAGCCCCACTGTTCCACACATCGATGCTGCAATCCCTAGCCTGGCTGAACGGGTGACACCTGTCGCCTGGTTGCACCAAACCCTAGTGCAGTACCTAGCCTCGCTGCACCATGCACTGGTGCATTGCCCAACCTAGCAACACCATGCATCGCTCGGTGCTAGCCATGGCCCAGTTGCACCATGCACTGCCTAGCCTACATGCACCGGTGCTACCCAGGGTCCAGCCGCACCATGCACCGGTGCTAC